TTTTCTGAGATTTGAATCTGCGTCATATCCAGCTTTGTCACTATTTCTCTCACGTATACAAAAGCACTCTCTCCCTACAAAGAGCATCGTTGGTTGAGAAATCAAGGCAAAAGCCTCGCGATAGAATGCAAACTCTTGTTGATGTTAAGATTCCTAACCTTTACCACTACACCCTTGTTTTGTTCCTCTGAATCATGCAATGCACTTACCCCATTGAACTGTCAGGCTGTGGGAAATAACCACCATGATCAGGAGGTGGTTCTTACTGAATGTGGTATCTCTATAGATAGACAACTGATGCAAGTTGATGGTCGCATCCTTGAGACCCCAAAGGTGAGTATTATTTTGTTAATAGTGTTTGAAACAGGAAGGACGAGGTGGTCTTTTCATCTCAAACTATTTATTAGAGTTAATTATTTCTTGTTAAAATGTATTTCTCTTGTAATGTGCAGTTAAAGATTGGGAATGGTGAGTATTGTATCCCTCGTAATGGTCGATGGAACTTTAACAACAAGGTGGTATTATTCAGTTTTACATCCTTCCGTTTTTTTCTGTGTTAATAAAACTTGATTTGCTTTTCTGGACCTTCTAGCTTTTTCTGTCACCTTCTTAACTGGGGAGTCTATCATGGTGGAATTATTTCTCTGTCTGCTGCATGATATTGAATTTGACTTAAAAAAAGCATTTTGTGATGCTTTCATACGTGTCTTGCAGACTCTTTTAAAACCCACCTACATTGACAGCTGGCTTGTTGTCAATTTTTCTGCCCGTTGCGATCTCAGTTACATTTCACGTGAGCTTATCAGCTGTGGAAGGAAAAAAGGCATTGTGAGTTATATCATTTGTTGTTCTATTATTTTACATGGCAACCTGTGAATTATATATTTGGTGCAAATACACCGCGAGTCTTGAACTTGATCTCTCTATCTCTCTCTAAACCTATGAAGCATATTGAGCGTCCACACACACTAATTGAGGAGGATCAGCAATCTAGAAGAGCCAGCCCTTTTGCTAGAGTGGATAGGATGTTCGAGCAGATGAGAGAGAAGCTTTCTGAACCTCCTAAATTCATTTTGTGTGTCTTACCTGAGCGGAAAAACTCAGATATTTATGGTATATTTTATCCTGAGAATCAGTTTTATCTCTCATTTTTGGATATATATGGACTCATTTTTTATTAATTTCTCAAGGACCTTGGAAAAAGAAATGTCTGTGTGACTATGGAATTGTTACACAGTGCATCTCTCCTACCAGGATTAATGATCAGTATCTTACTAATGTACTTCTGAAAATCAATTCCAAGGTAAACTTACAAACTAGAAGCTAAAAGGATTAATGCTTGTTAATTTTCTCCTTCTAAATTACCTTTCGCGCTTTCTTTCCTTTTCAGCTTGGGGGAATAAATTCTTTATTAGCCATAGAAGCCTCCCCTCATATCCCCTTAATAAGAGATATTCCAACAATGATTTTGGGGATGGATGTCTCTCATGGGCCTCTGGGTCAATTAGATATCCCATCTATAGCTGCAGTAATTCATTCACATCCTCTACTTTTCTGGAACAATTGTTTACTTGGTCCTCCACTTCAGATTAAGCTAAATCATTTTTTGACTGCTTTCTTGCCATGGGCTCCTAGGTTGTTGGCTCTCGTTGTTGGCCATTGATCTCAAGGTATAGAGCATCTGTAAGGACACAATCAGCTAAGATGGAGATGATTGATGCTTTATTCAAGCCTTTAGCAAATGGAAAAGATGATGGCATCATTAGGTATTCATGTGAAGTCACTATATACAATAATAAATGCTTTAATAATAACTACTCCAGAAATGCTTTAATAACAAGTTACACATCAGTAGTTCAGTTACCATTTTTAATTATCTGGAAATGAGTTTTTCAGTTGTCAAAATATAGATCAGGACACTTGATACTTGTTTGAATCTCTCATGAACGTTGACTAATAATCTACATTGCCAATGCTTAGATGCTTTTCCATATGATTAACTACAGGTTGCTGTATGAATTGTTATGTTTACTATTATTTATATCCTTTCATATAATCTAGAGAATCACAATTTTTACTTTTGTTTTCAGATTTGTCAATGAACAAAAAATATTAACTCTTTTGGAACGAAGCAAACTGATATTCTTTCCTAGCAGTTGTTTCTTATTTATGGTTCCAATATTATATGTAACGTAATCAACGTAGAAAGATTTTTAAAATATACCTAATTGAGGATATATGTAAGTACTTTTTCATTTTTGACATCTTGTTATATTTGTTACTGGATATTGTAACTGGGTGGTCCATGGTTGCCTATAATGGGCCAAACTTGACCCGTATTCATCATATGTAACCAGATAAACTAAGAAGAAAAATGGGGGAATTTGAATTTAATGTAATTTGTTGATCAATTACAACTAACCTAAAAGAGATTAAAGGAAGGAGAACTGATTATCAGCATGGGCACATTGTTTTATCTAATATTAGAGAACTGGCTATCTAATCTCTCATCTGATCCTTGACATTCTCTCATTAACAACTCTGAAATTCTCTCTAACACTCTTAAACAATTTTTGTATAGGCAGTTACATCAAATTCTAACTTTATATACAGATTTCTTTATGTGCCTATAGAGCCCTTTAATTATTCTGAAACTTCGATTGTAGTGCTTGAGGATTGGTTGGTTCTATGAATTATTGTTCAAACCATTCTTTGCAGCAGTCCATGTTTAGTACAATGCTAACAAAAAGAATTTACTTTGCTTCGGTATTACATTATTTTTCTTTGGTAAGTTACAGTGAGTACATTATATTTCATAAGGATTGGAATTGCTTCTTCCTATCTCAGGGAACTGCTTGTGGACTTCTATCAATCGAGTGGTGGACGCAAACCGAAACAGATAATTCTGTTTAGGTATCAGTACAATATATGAGTAGACTTGTTTTTCATGTCAATATTTTGGATGCTTGGTGACCATTATCATTTGATTTTTCATCTTTAGAGCTCATCAGCTGTTCTGACTATGGTTTAAATTGTTTAAACTTTAACTTGAAGAATGAATTTTAAATTTACTATAAGATGGAGATTTATTGTGTCCTTGCAGCTTTTTGTTTCATTGACATTTTATTTAATACTACAGTCAGTTTTCTCTTGTGTGGAATTAATTATTCTCTCTAAATTTTGATTAAAATTCTGTTTGAGCATTCCCTATATCATCTACCTTATTTCATCTTGCCTATTATAGTATGTCTATTCATTTCAAGTATCTGTTTTTTTAAAATAAAATATGAGTATTTTAACAGGCACCAAGGGAGTGTAACTTGTCTATAAGTAGGTTCCCCTACATCCTTGCTAGAATAAAATGGGTGAACCCTAATAAAAAAGCTTGAGGTCTGGAGCCGAAAATTTGTAAGATTATAAAAATTAGATTTGACGCCTTCAAAAAACTTTTCTGTTTCTTTCTTTCCATAAGGCCCAAACAGTAGCCAAATATATAAGATTTAATCCCTTATCCCCTTTGATGCCCCTCAAAGAACGGAACTCCTACTTAACCAAACTCACAATGACCAAATTCAGCCCCAATAAACCATAAGCCAAACTCCACAATCAATGTGGAGGACACCAAAAAAATGAATGGTTGCATGATTCTGCATCTCCCTTACACAAGAAGCATCCATTCACCAGGATTTTTTCCCTCATCAACTCATCCAAGGTCAGTATGCTCTTTCGAGCTGCCTCCCATGAGAAAAAAGCTACCCCCATATCTGTCCTAATCTTCGAAATCTGCTTAACTGGAAAATACTCCTTCTCCATCACCCTATTGGACAAATACCTGAAGTAAAACCTCAAGAGCTTTTGGTCATTAGCTTCGATTTATCAATTTCAGTAGGAATTAAGAAAGAAAGAGTTTGGAGAAGAGAGTGTGAAGAAGAGAGAAGAGAATGCTAGAAGGAATTGGAATTCGAGGAATTTGAATGTGATTTTTCTTGTTCTGCTTCGCACCAAATAAACTATATATATACTAATTGGATATGCTCCAATTTGTTACAAAAGGAAAACGATAACAGAAAAGAATACCAAACAAAAAAACCTAGTGAACTGCATTACAAATTTCCTGCTTCCCCATATGTATGCCTATTTTACCATTTTACCCTATTAGCGGCTTCTTTGCAAACTCCCCGAGAGTTCGGTTTCCAAATGGGTGTGTCAACTTCCAAACAATACACTTCACATCTAAATTGATTCCATGAACTTGAAATATTCTTCAAATTTAAAATCTTTTAAATTTCTGACCAATCTATGCACCAATCCTCATTACCTCTGGTATTCGAGAACTATCATATTCCATCTTTGAGATTCTATGGAAAAATATAATGATGCTCATATTAATCATATTCCTGGCTGGATATGTTAAATTGTTTTTGGCATGCTCATTGTTGACCAACTCAATCTTAGGAATGACTTCTCTGTTGAGTTTGGTTTGAATACTAATTCTATAAAATAAGAATAAGAATTCTGAATACAACAGAATCTCATAGAAATTTGAATGGAAAAAGTAATCTGCTCTGAACTTAATTTTGTGTGCAATTCAAATTAAATATTTTTGGGACCTTCACGGGTGAGAATACAAAGTTCATGGCTGTTGAATTAAAGATAGGAGTAAAGTTGATTTAATTATATATCAAATGTGCAAATTATGACTGATTTTTACATATCAAATAGTTAAACATGTAGGAGTAGAATAAGTTTTAGCCAAAGGCAATATTAGTCTCTATGTGTCTATGATGTTTAAATGTGTAAGGGTAAATTGGGAATCTCAATTTATCATTCAGTATATTTCCGAAGCATTGCATAAGCAACTTGGTTTTGGTGTATTACCATTCTGTTTGCATCAATGCATCAGGATGAAGCAACCTTTCCATGAAATACAGGTCTCTATTTGTTTTTTTATTAGAGTTGCCGTTGTTTTTTCATGTTTCCTCCTTTGTTGTCAACAAACGCAACAGTTGGTTTTGTTAATTATCCTGTTCTTCTTAGGGATGGAGTAAGCGAATCACAGTTTAATCAAGTTCTGAACATTGAGGTGGAGCAAATCATAAAGGTTCTTCTGTAACACCATCTTTTGTCCAATCAAAATTGTGTTTAAAAGAATATATTCATCTATAATTATTATTTACATGAGTTAAATTTTGTCTTTCCAAATGATGACTGAAAAGATGCCTGCTTTGTGCCTAACCATCCATTTGTACATGCAGTCTATATGGGTGGTTGTGTGGCTTTATAATGACTACAACTAAGTTACATGTACTATTGAGATATAAGCAGTCTTTTATTGTTAAGTCTGATAATCTACATGCAAAATGTTGAGTAACTTGAAAGCTATGTGTAACCTCTCCTTGTGCATTTGTTCCTCTTTTCCAAGAGCGCATATCAGAATCAAGAATGAGTTACTTTAGGATCTGCAAAATTGGCATACTCGTTTTGAGAAAGTCAAATTCTGTATTACAGGCCTACCAGAATCTGGGCGAGGTTGATGTTCCCAAGTTTACTGTAATTGTGGCTCAGAAGAATCACCACACAAAGCTATTTCAAGCTAGTGGGAATGATAATGTCCCTCCAGGTCTGTTACTTCCTAGTTCTGTCTGCTTATTTGTTCCATTTAGTTTTTAGCTTTGTTGATTTCTATCATCTCTTTTTTTCCTCTTCTGCTTTCTCCAGGGACTATTGTGGATACAAAAATTGTGCATCCCAGAACTTATGATTTCTACTTGTGTGCTCATGCCGGAATGATGGTAAGTTTATTTCATTATCAAGATTATCTCATAAATGCTCATGTGGACTGAAATTCTAATTTTGTTATTCACTAAATGACCCTGCAGAAAATCGAAGAAATGCCTTTACCTTTATCAACTTAGCCCGAATTTCAGGCTGATATTTCATAATTAGCTTGGAAATTCACAAAAATATGCCATCAATATTTTTAACCATAATTAGCGTTGCTCCTGGAACTTATGGAACGCATGTCAAAATGCACATAAATAAACACACCCCTATTCAAATTTGTAACTCATTATGCCTAATTCTAGCTTTCTTCATGTTATACCTTTTGCAGGGAACTTCTAGGCCAGCTCACTATCATGTACTGATTGATGAGATTGGTTTCAACCCTGATGATTTGCAAAACTTGATTCATTCTCTATCATATGTGTAAGCTCTCAATATCTTGTTGCGTCTTGTTTACATTGAGGTTATCTATATTTTTCTTCAGTTGGTAAAATCTAATTATTCGATTACATAAAACTTTCTCATAATTTGTATGTTTAATGCATAACTAAACAACTCTACCTATATCTTCAATTAATAACTGATGAATTTAGATCACTACTTATGAAAGGAAGAATTTCAGAAATACCTAATTTGAATTAGACGCATAATTCATTTGGAATTAAAATATTATTTTTATGCAAAATTTTGTATTATCTGTATACAGAATTAAAATTTGAACTATAATTAACATGAATGTTAATTACTTTGGTGGTATTCTTTTGCTTAATTCAGGTACCAACGGAGCACATCCGCCATCTCAATTGGTAATTTACTTTTTTGTTTATATACAAGGAGTTTGTATGAAAGGCTATTCAGAAAAAAATCTGTTCCAAAGACATAGCAGCCATTAACTGTTTACTCCTCCTGAATCCCCTCAAAAGAAAAAAAAAAAAAATAGCTATTAGTCCTGAATCTTTCTTTCTTTTTTTTCCAGTGGCTCCTGTATACTACGCCCATCTCGCGGCACAACAAATAAGCCAGTTTTTGAAGCTTGAGAATTCTTCAGAGACCTCTTCAGGGCATAAGATAATGACGTCATCAGGGATTGTTGCATTTCCAGAACTTCCCAGGTTGGCCAAGGAAGTAGAGAGTTCAATGTTCTTCTGTTGACTAGTTGGCTGCCCGTGGCTTTTGTCAGTTTTTTGAATAGGTTTTTAATAACATAGAGTTCTCGTACAGCTAGATATATATATAGTCAAGCAATCCTAACTTATCATATAGATGGTGAAAATTTGAGGCACAGTGCAAAAAAAAAAAGAAAAATCCAGTCGGACACAATTAATTAATGAACTTTATTACATGCCATGAATGGCCATTTTTGTTACTAGGACCTTATTGGGGCGTCGGTCTTCTTGTGCTTTGTAAAGGAACTCAAATGTTGAATGACCAATAGGGTAATTTCCTACTGGTTTTGGTAATTTGCTTTCTTTGTTTATTTTTAATTTAGATAGAAATAAAATAAATTATTAATTATTAATTTGGTTCTGACATTATAAGTATTTTAACAAAGTACTTCTAATTTTAATTACCTTATTTTTTAAGTATTAAATTATATTAACTTAAGTATTAGAATTTTATGAAGCTTGATTTCAAACTAAGTTTAAAAATACTCATCTTCATTTGATAAACTATATGTTTGAATTAAATTTAATAATTTTATATAGCTTATTTGTAGAAGTGTCTTTCATTTAATTACGAAATTATGTAAATTTCGTTAGAAAATAACATTGAATATAATTTTGTGTAAAATGAAAGTATGATAATGTATTTCAAACTTCATGAATTTTAATGAAATTTATAAGGCATTACCTTCATTATTTCATATAATATTAATTTTGACTGTTTTAAATATAATTTTTTATATTTTAAAGCTAAATTATGTTCGCAAAAATTTTATCTCTCTCTCTCCTATTTCTTTTCACGTATTGATCACCCTTTAGTATGTAAACCGATGTCGTTTTCGTTATGAATCTTCTTGGCAGGAGAACGTCTTTTGGAAAAAAATAAAAATATAAAGCAGATGAGTAGTTGTTGATTCCAAGATTGCCCGTAATGTCGGTTATGTGAAACGTCTTGGCCCTTGCAGACCGCAACCCATTCTTTCGAATTTCAAGCTATCTTATGGTTTTATGATGAGAGAGTCTCTTTATATCCCTTGCCAAGCAGAATAATGGGGAAAAACTCTTTTCTGTTTTGCGGTTGCAAGAGAAAGAGTAAGGAGTGGAGAGAAGAGCCGAAGACAGGAAGGCGCGCCTGAAGAGGCGAGTTCGAGAGAAGCGACAAGGAAGATAGGCTTACGGAATGGAGTCAGATGAAGGATCTGAGAACAGGGGAACATATATTGGAGTGTGCTTGTGTACATAGAGGCAAGAAGTCGTTACGCGTGAAAAGGAGACAGCGGGTATAAAGGGAAAGATTCGGCCGAGAAGGGAAGGGGGGCTCCAGGAAGCGGTAGAGGAAAAATCGAGAGGTTTTCTTCTTTGTCGATCTTGAAGAAGTTCCGGGGTTTCTTGGTAAGGGGATAAAGAGACCGCCGAAGATTGAGGGGGTCTTTGTCCTCTCCGAGTGGAAGGAAAGACGCAGTGGGTTATTCTGTGGGTGTTTCTACGGAAGAAGAGTGCAGAACAGAGGGCTCTAATTCTTCTAAGTATTCTCTCTCGTTGGGATTTAGGGCGTCGAATTTTCGGGTTTGAAATAACGAGAGTGCCGAAGATCGAGGGGATCTTCGTCCTCTCTGAGCGGAAGCAAAAACCGAGCGGGGGGGTCCTGTGGGTGTTTCTGTGGAAGAAGAGTGCAGAAAATGGGACTTTTCGTCTTCTGGGTCTTCTCTGTTGTGGGAATTCAGGGTTTTTCTCAGCTTCTTCTGGGTTCGTATCAGTGAAGGGAGACGGAAGAAAAGAGCAGAACAAGCTAGGTAAAAGGAAGAGTCAATAATTTGTAGGAGGTATGTATCAATTTCCCTTACGGATTTAAGTTGAATGTATGCCTGGATGATCAAGAGTCCACGGAAAGTTTTCGTGTTGTTCACAGTTTTGTCATCCAAGCACTGAAATGATCAATTTTAGTGCAAGCAGATCATGGTCTCTTTATGTATTATCATTTTGATACTAATTATAAAGCAGTCAAATGTCACTTTAATATTTTACAAAAAAGAAAAACTCTTTGAATATTATGTTTATAACCAGTTATTGTTAATTTATTGTGTGATGTTCTTGGGACTTCTATCAATATGACTTGATTCCTTTTCTTGTTCTTTGATTTACAGGGACTATATGCTGAAAATATTATAATCTTCATTCAATCAGGTATAGATTGCTGGTTCAAGAGGTATGCAATATCTATTTATACTAATACCTCTTGATGCTGGATTCAAATAATATAATGTACTTATTTCTCTCATGCTTTTTGGTTGCATTTGAGCAATCATTTGTTAGAGGCAGTAAGCCAGATCTTGAAATATGGAAGGTTTTTAGAAATTGATGCTTCGCATTTACTTTACCAACAAAGCTTTGGCACTTTCTTATGTTGGTTTTACTAACAAAGCTTCCCGTTTACTTCACAAGGGTTTCTATTTTGTGGGAACCATGTCCTCGAATTTTTAATTCTGCTTGGTTACATAGTCCTTGCAAAGTCATTCCAGCAAAAGTGCACAAAGAAACATAGTTCTCAGGTTGGAAACTAATCATGGTCAAATGATAATGCTCTCCAGTCTTTTGGTCTTGAGACTAAAGAGAAGGTGCCTCACTTTCCATAAACTGAATTAGTGCGGATGCTCCTTGATCACCTGATTCCAAATAAACATTTTTCAGTATTTGGTATAATGCTTTTTATGTTTTAGTTAAAACATAATTATGTTAGGATGTTGACGTCTTATGTTGCTTTTGAATGTTAAGAGTGTCTTGATTTACTATTTCAAAGTTAATATGTCCTTAGTTCCTATGGAAATGTTTTTCAATTTCTCCATCGGATTGTTCCTCTGTTTGTTTTATGGTAATTCCATTTTGTTTCTTCTTATTTTTTAACCAACTTTTAAGAATTAGTATGAAAATGCTCATGGTCTTCTTCTCTCCTGATATTTTTTTTATTAGCCCTTCGAAGCTGAAGTTTGTTCCAAACGCACTTGTTTTGGTAGCTTGCAGGAAATGCCTGCATTATACAAGTCACCACTTGTACATTATAAGAAATGCCTGCATTAACGAAGATGTTTAGGAATCCAGAATGCTTGGTTTTGCTTGGCTAAAGAATCCCTGGAAAGTCTCCCCAGTTCAACGCGTGCAAGGGACTGTGAGAATTTTCGAGCTGTAGGAGTTACCACTTGTGTGGAACATTCAAGTCAACACTTGCCTTTGCCGTAGTGAGTCAACCTCTGAGACATAAATTGTGTTCTTCTTTGAGTTTTCGTTCGAAATGTTGTTGAAGGGTTGAAGTAATAAAATTAAGAGAACTTATTTGTTACTAAAAGCACCCCTTTATTGTATATTGATATCCCGATTTAAAGTAGTATAATAGAACTTCAGATTTCTAAGGATTGTTTTTGTCTAAGCAAACATTTGTGGTCCCAAAAAGTTGTTATTTATGATAAGCAAGACAATTACAAAGCAACACATAAGAGCCTTATTGTGGTGTTGCTGACTTTTTCTTGCTGCAGATGTTATTAGAGTTGTTATGTAAGATATGAGACCAGGTCTTTTCTAGTTGCTGGATACACAGATCATCAGCTCTGTCCGGCATGTGAGTGTTATTCTACCCTTCTACTCTCTGTCATTGTGTTTTCACTTTTGCTGAGTGTTATAAAGTATTCATCTCACATTTGTCTCTGTTTTGATGTACACGTTGAAATTGAAATTTATTTCTTAAATTTGCATTTTGATGCATTTTTGTCTTGAGAAGTTAATTATTTATGATGGTTCCACTTCAACAGAAGTAAATAGTTTTTGTTATGTCGCTTTAAAGTTTCTAGATCTTTTGAAATAATTGTCCTAGGTGTGACATAGGAAAGTGTCCCTTTCCGAAAGTTAGAGGTGCTCAAGTAATTGATTTCAGAAGTAATTTCCCTCTATGGATAAGCAAATAATTCTGGATCTATTGTGACAAACTAAAATTGTTTCTGTCGTTTAGGTTTTCCCAACTTCAAAGAATGTAGCTTGAACTTTTGATTCAAAGTAAATATGTTTCAATGTGTCAGTTTGAAAGTAAAAGTTACTGCATGGCACATTTTCTCTTAGAGAGTTGACACCATGTCTCTTAGAAAGTTGACAATATTCTTTCCACTTTTTTATTACTACGGGTACAAGACATGGATGCTCAGTTCTGATAATTGTCATTTTATGTGGGAAAGGTTGTTGTTTTTCTTTTTAGAGGCTCTTTGCTAAATAAGATGTGCTTTCATTCATTGGTGCTAAAATAATAACTTGTCAGTCCCACCTCTAAGTTGAAATATATTTTATGTGGCCCTTGCTTTTGATGTAACTGTTTTACATCAGATTCTTGGTCGAAAATGTAAGGCCTCAATCCTAAATTGGTAGTGTTCGGCCCTGAAATAGGGTTGCCTTCGATCCTATTTTGAAAGTTAGAGTTTCTTGAGCTTTTAAAAATGTCTCATTTCGGAAAGAAAAAGTCCCTCAAGTAATTGTCTTGAATGTTAAAGAGTGTCTTGATTTACTATTTCAAAGTTAATATGTTTTTAGTTCCTGTGGAAATGTTTTTCAATTTCTTTAGAAAAACTGAAACTTATCTAGTTCCTTGGATTGTCCAACTCCGAGGAAATATGCCTTGATCAGTTGATTGCAAGTAATAACATTTTTTGAAATGTTGGTTTAATTCCTTTTTGTTTGTTGGTTAAAAGATGTTCCATCTAAAGTATCACAATTTTAAAAGTAAAAGACTCTCGATTCATTTCTTTGAGACATAAAGTTTTTGTTATTTATTGCTAAAAATAAATGTTTGTCTGTGCATAAGGAAATGTTTATTGATTTATGGGGGCAAAGTGAAAATGCTATGGTCCCTCGAGTAGCACCAATTGTCAAAGAATGTGTTTTGAACATTTGATTCTTAGTAAATACATTTATGTTTGTTGATTGGGAAGTAAAAGCTATTGCGCTAGCACCTCTCTCTCGTAGACATTGCAATTTGCTTTCCTGGTATGTGATAATCATAAACAAAAGACACGAATGCTTGGTTATGGGAATTGTCATATTTAGTTTATGCGAGAAAGGTTGTTAATATGTGTTTTGAAGCTTCATTAATGAAATAGACATTGATTGATAGTTGGTGAAGAAACAAAAATGATCGGGTTTCTTGGGTTGAAAACATTATTTGTACAGCTCTTGCATTCATAATGAATGTTTTATTTGACATTCTTGGTCCAAAGTATACGAGCTTCAATGCCATATTAACAAGCTCTCGGCCTCAAAAACCGGTCCTTGGATAATGTTTTGAAATTTAGAGTTTCTCGATCCTCCAAGACAAGCTTATCTATTGATCCCCCACTAGGATGTTTTTAAATTCCAAAAGTGAAATGCTTCTATTTATGTTTTTAGAAAGTGAGTATCTTGATTCTTTTTTTCAAGTAAATGTATGCATTTCTTAGGCAAATTTCTTTTGATATTGCTCCGATCCCTTTGAAAGTTTACACTCTAGAAAGATATGCCATGATCTTTTAATTGGAAGGAAATATATCTTGTTATATCGGTTTAAAGTTTCTTGATTTTTTGAATTAAAAATAATTGTTGTGGGTGTCTTGTGTCGAGTGTGTCTAGAATAAAAAAGTGAGAGGCTCAAGTAATTGTTAAGAAATTGAAGTTTTTTTTCCATTTATTGTTTCAAAAAATAAAAGTGCCTTGGCGCGAAGGAAAATATTTCTTGATTTTTTCCGGCAAATAAAACTACTTTGTCCCTCAAGCTGTTCCAATTTTAGAAAAATGTGGCTTGACCTTTTGATGCAAAGTAAATATGTCCTGATATATCAGTTTGAAAGATAAAGTTACTTTGATAGCACACTTTCTTTTGAAGAGTTGACAAACTTTCTCACAGAGAGTTGAAAAAATACGTTCCAATTTACATTTAGCACAGACAGAAAACATGGATGATTGGTTATCGGGATTTTCATCTTATGTGAGAAAGGTTATCGTTCTTCATTTTGAAGCCACATTAGGAAACCAAATTTACTTTTGTTCATCGGTAAAAGTGCCTTCATTTATTTAATTAAAAGTGAGAGAAAATTGATTTATTGTTTCAAAATTAAAACTATTTTGGCCCCTCAGGTTGTTCCAATTTTAGGAAAATGTAGCTTGACCTTCTGATTCGAAGTAAATCTGTTCCAATATATCAGTTTGAAAGAAAAAGTTGCTTTGATGACACTTTCTTTTGAAGAGCTGACAAACTTTCTCATATAGAGTCGAAAAAATGCTTTCCCAGTCTACATTTAGCACAGACAGAAAACATGGATGGTTGGTTATCGGGAATTTCATTTTATGTGAGAAAGGTTGTCGTTCTTCATTTTGAAGCGACATTAGGAAACCAAATTTGCTTTTGTTCCTCGATAAAAGTGTCTTCATTTATTTAATTAAAAGTGAGAAGAAATTGATTTATTGTTTCAAAATTAAAACAACTTTGGCCCCTCAGGTTGTTCCAATTTTAGGAAAATGTAGCTTCATCTTTTGATGCAAAGTAAATTTGTTCCAATATATCAGTTTGAAAGAGAAAGTTACTTTGATAATACACTTTCTTTTGAAGAGTTGACAAACTTTCTACATACAATTGAAAAAATGCTTTCCCAGTCTCTATTTAGCACAGACAGAAAACATGGATGGTTGGTTTTCGGGAATTTCATTTTATGTGAGAAAGGTTGTCGTTATTCATTTTGAAGACACATTAGGAAACCAAATATGTGAGAAAATGCTTTCCCAGTCTCCATTTAGCACAGACAGAAAACATAGATGGTTGGTTTTCGGGAATTTCATTTTATGTGAGAAAGGTTGTCGTTATTCATTTTGAAGCCACATTAGGAAACCAAATATGCTTTTGTTCCTCGGTAAAAATTTCTTCATTTATTTGATTGAAAGTGAGAGGAAATTGATTTATTGTTTCAAAATTAAAACTATTTTGGTCCCTCAGGTTGTTCAAATTTTAGGATAATGTTGCTTGACCTTTTGCTTCAAAGTAAATATGTCCCGATATATCATTTTGAAAGAAAAAGTTACTTTGATGACACATTTCCTTTTGAAGAGTTGACAAACTTTCTCACATAGAGTTGAAAAAATACTTTTCCAGTCTACATTTAGCACGTACAAAAAACATGGATGGTTGGATATTGGGATTTTTATTTTATGTGAGAAAAATTGTCGTTCTTCATTTTGAAGCGACATTAGGAAACCAAATTTGCTTTTGTTCCTCGGTAAAAGTGTCTTCATTTTTTTGATTGAAAGTGAGAGGAAATTGATTTATTGTTTCAAAATTAAAACTACTTTACTCCCTCAGGTTGTTCCAATTTTAGGAAATTTGGCTTGGCCTTTTGATTCAAAGTAAATATGTCCCAATATATCAGTTTGAAAGAAAAAGTTATTTTGATGGTACACTTTCTCTTGAAGAGTTGACAAAGTTTCTCACAAAGAATTGAGACAATACTTTTCCCGGTCTACATTTAGCACGGACAGAAAACATGGATGGTTGGTTATCAGAATCTTCATTTTATGTGAGCAAGGTTGTCATTCTTCATTTTGAAGGCACATTAAGAAACCAAATTTGTTTTTGTTCCTCGATAAAAGTGTCTTCATTTATTTGATTGAAAGTGAGAGGAAATTTATTTATTGTTTCAAAATTTAAACTACTTTGGTCCCTCAAGTTGTTCCAATTTTAAGAAAATGTGGCTTGGCCTTTTGATTCAAAGTAAATATATCCCTTTATATTAGTTTAAAAGAAAAAGCTACTTTGATGATGCACTCTCTTGAAGAGTTGACAAACTTTCTCACAAAAAATTGAAAAAATACTTTTCCTAGTCTACATTTACCACGGACAAAAAACATGGATGATTGGTTATTGGGATTTTCATCTTATGTGAGAAATGTTGTCGTTCTTCATTTTGAAGCCACATTAGGAAACTAAATTTGTTTTCATTCCTCGTTAAAAGTGCCTTAATTTATTTGATTAAAAGTGGGAGAAAATTGATTTATTTGTTCAAAATAAATTGCGTTCGTGTTTAAGGAAATTTTTTTTTTATTTCTTTGGAGAAAGTAGAATTCTTCGTGTCCGTTGGATATTTTGAACTAAAAAAAAAATGTGCAGAGATCTTCTTACTGCAAGTAAATATTTTTTGTTATCATTTTAAGTTTCTTGCTTCTTTTGTTATATCGGTTTAAAGTTTCTTGATTTTTGAATTAAAAATAATTGTTGTGCGTGTCTCGTGTGCAATGTGTCCAGAATCAAAAAGTGAGAGACTTAAGTAATTGTTGAGAAACTAAGTTTTTTTTTTTCATTTATTGTTTCAAAAAATAAAAGTGCATCGGCGCGAAGGAAAAAAATTCTTGATTCTTTTCGGAAAAAATAAAACTGCTTTGCCCCCTCAAGTTGTTCCAATTTTAAGAAAATATGGCTTGACCTTTTGATT